CCCGAGGAAGGTTCAGATAGCTCAAAGGACCCAGGAGATAAACCCGAACCAGGGAAGTGGCCATAGAGCAACCAGCCACCACTCCACGACGCGCGAAAAAAGGCCCAGCGACCGCCGAGGCCATGCTCACAAACCTCCCGTACCTGTAGGCAGAGACGCACAACTGGGTGATGGCCGTGGGGAAACCGAACTTACGAGCCTCAGCCACAAGTCTTTCGTGAGAAAAGTTTTCATAAAACTTAGTCATATCCCACAAAAGCATAGCCGAGACTTCCCCTTTCCTGGTGCTGAGCTCGGCTCGGGCCGCTTGCCGCCACACCGTGTCGGCCGCGCAAGCGAAAGAACTGCCAGCAAAGAATATCCTAGCATTCCTCGCTTCCCACTCCGCCGCCAGCTCCCTTCTGCATTTCCCCCAAAGTCTGTAAAGGGAAACAAACAACCCAATGGGCCGATATCCCCCCGACGCTTTAGAGAGAAGCACCACCTGAATAATCTGGAGCTGGCGCGGCAGGCTGGAGAGCGATTCGAAGATCGCAAACAGGAGGCTCACCACCGCTAGCGCCGAGTCCGACAGCCACGAGTAGTGCCTCATGTGAAACCCATCCACCGCCTGTGCCGTGGTGGCCTTGAAAGCGGCAGATGTCGACCTAATCTGGTCGATCGAAACCATGGGGAGGGGCTGACATACCCCTTCAAACAGACAGTCGGGCGCCTCAGAGCCCGCGTGCCACAGCTCGGCCCAGCCAGAGGCCTCGCTCTTGAGCAAACTTAAAGGGTCCGAAAGCACCAAACCCCCGGCCGATAAGGTCGTGGTAGCTTTCCAACCATGGGCCTCCTTGGAGGCCAGGTGGGCATTCTTTCCCCCCTCTTTGATTTTTGTGAGCAGCCAGTTTTTCCACCCCATCTCGCCGTCAAGACGAGCTTCTCCTTGAAGCTTGGTCACATACTGCTGCACTAAAACCAAAGCATCTTGAGCAGCCTCCAGCCACTCGGACTTGCCCAACTGCTGGCGCTCCCCGCTGGTGATCTTGCCGACGGGGACGGCTCGAGCTAAGGACTGAATCGTGCTGAGATACTGGTCCCACTCAACGCAGCCGACGATAAGCACGAAGGACGGGGGCTTCAACAGGGACTCCCTGGTCTTCGAGGCCTCCAGAGCTCCTTCCCTAAACTCGATGATCAGGTCCTGGAACCTGTGATACACCCACTTTCCCGCGAACAACTTGGGGTGCCTGAACGGGGGGGCCTTGTCCTTGATGATGGGAACCCAATGCAGTTGCGGTGACTTACTACGGGCACCATAGTAGGGCAGCGTGATCTGGGCCAAGTCGCAAAGCTCCCTCTCGGCCAAATCCGCCCAACGCCCATAGACCCAATCAAGCCTCTCCTGAGCCTCCGAGATCTGGCCCGAGAGCGCCGTACCTAAACACCCCTCAGCAGCGTCCTGCACCTCACCCCAGTCTGGCGGTGAGCGGCCGACCCCAATCGGCCTCTCTCTGGGAATGGGCGGTGGCTTACGGAACGTGAGCGCGCACAGCTGAGCAAGCCGAGGAAAAAGTTGCAGATGGACGGGCTTGTGCGGTGTCAGCTGCGCCACCTGCACTATGCTCGTCGACTGAATGCCCTTCGCAATGCCCCCAGTGCACACAAAATAATCCAGGAAGTTCAGACCTCCCAACGATCTGCAGGTCCCAGAGCCAGCAGGTTTGATCAGAGACCCCTCCAACTTCTCAGGGAAACCCGACTCAAGAAGGGCTTCAGGAGACATGTTCCAGTCGCCTCCAAGAATGGCCTGGTGCCCCGACATCTTCACAGTAGCCCCCGCGGTACTGAGTAGGTCGAGGTTCCTGCTTGACAAACCTTCACTATCGTGTAAGTACGCCGACAGGACCAAAAACGGCACATCCCCAGGAAGATAAACCAAGGCGTTGATGAGACGGCCAGCCGAAAGCGAGGAGCCCCACAGAGGCTCATGCAGCCCCAGGAACTCCCGCGCCAGGATGCCGACTCCCCCAGACGAGCCCTCACCTTGACCAGCAATAGCAGGGGTAAGTATCGCCTTCCATCCATGACGGCTGCACCATGACGTTGCCTCCCTCAGTGCAGTGGGCTTGACGATGTGGTGCTCTTGCAGACAAATAATGTGCGCCGTCGTGTTACTGAGCCACTCTTTGAACGAGTTCCAGCAAGTGGCATTACAGCTCTCCACGATGAGACCGAAACCAGAGGGACAGGGCGGCTCTGGGGGGGCCTGCAGAAAGTCGAAAGAGCTAGCGGCTCCGATGAGACTGGGGACCCCTGGGTGACTGGCAGCACAGGCAGCACTGAACTCACACAGAAGCGGAGGGGGGAGCCTGCCTCCAGCAGGCTCCTCAGTAGACGAACAGCAGGCCATCGACGGAGGCGCTACCGAAGCCGCCGAAGACGACCCCGAAGTCCCACACGTCGTAGTCGCACTCGAAGTGAACGAGCACCCAGGCGCAGCACTCGACCGAGTAACCGAACGACCTCTCTTCGCTCCCCGCCTCGAGCCTTGAAAGTCGTCTGCCTGATGAACCCGCGCACCCGTCGGCACCGATGTCGACCCAATGCAACCTGCGGGTGTCGCCGCTGGGGTAGCGCCCTCGCCCTGCCCAGAAGGCGCATGGCTTACGCCAAGAGCTTTAACGTCCCCGACCGACTGGGGGCAGGGGAACGTGGCACCCCCCATTGGCGAACCCCCCGCAGGCGCGCCCTCGGCGCGGGCCGCTCCCCCCCCATTAACCCCCTTTGGGGGACCTCTGGCCACAGGTAAGGCTGCCAGGGGCGGAGGGGGGGCCCGAGAAGTGCGCGGCGTCGATGCCGAGCAAAAAGAGGAACCACGTCTGGCCTCCGCCACAGAAGCCGAACGCGTCGTAGACCCAGACTGGAGGCCAGTCTTCGCAATATCGCAGTAGGTGAAACGCACACGACATCCCCTGGTAGTTCTGGACGAACTGCCGCCGTGTCTCAGTATACTTCTCGTATCGCTACCCACAATGCTTGGTAGCCTCTGCCTTGCCGTTGCATCCACTCGCCACCTCGGTCGCCGCTGCCACGGCTGCCCGAGCGGTGGCCTTGAGCTTCTCCGAGTCACCCTCAGCGCGTGCAGGCCCTGCAGGCTCAGCGACTTCAGGCTGTTCAGGAGGTGCCACAGGAGCCTGCGCCCCCGCGATGCCGTCCCCGTCGCTGTCTCCCGCGTCTCCCTCTGCAGTGCGCCGCTTCTTGGCCGCGAGCCGCTCCTGCATGACCTTGTGCTCGGCCTGCAGCGCCTGACCCTTCTGGCGCACCTCTCCGAAGAACGAGCCCGCCATCTGCTTGAACGATTCCAACATCTGCTTCTTCCTGGACTTTGCCTCCTCCAAGGCCGCGGGGCCGAGCTCCTCGAACTCTGTGTAGCCGAAGAGCCCGTCGTCCTCCAGGTCGATGTCGTCCAGCTCCCCGTCCATGAGCTTTGCCAGCGAGAGCTTGATTGGTTCCACTTTCGCAGGGGCCTGTCCGCTGACCCCCGCAGCCACTTCTGCCACAGCGACCCTGTACTCGTTCTCGGCCGAGTCCAGCTCCGACACCAGCTCGGAGACCAGAGCCTTCTGCGTCTCCACCTGCTCCAGCAGGTTTGCCAGCACCGCGTTCTCAGCCTCGAGCTTCCCCTTCGTCTTGCGCAGCCGAGCGTGCGCCTTGTTGGCCCTGAGCTGCGCGGGCTTTTTGTCCTCCGAGCCCTTGTCGGCCTGCTCCAGCAGCTGCTTGTACTTCGCCGCCGTCGCTTTGTCACCTGATCTCTCCGCCATGGTGACCATCGAACGCAGCTCGTCCCTGGAAAGGGCCGTGGGCGCCTCAGGCTGAGACTTGATGCGGATGGCTTCTCGGTACTTCTCGGCCATCTGCTTGTCCCCCTTCTGCTCAGCGAACACCACGAGGGCCTGCATGGCATCCACTCCGAGGTCTGGGACGTGCGATCCAGCAGCACCACCAGTCCTGCCAGCACCCCCACGAGGCGTATCACGCGCCCACGGTGGCTTGGACTCGCCCCCGTTGCGCTCCTTGCCGCAATGCTTGCACCAACGCCAATGGGCCTGGTTCTTGGCACAACGACAGTCGGCCTGCGAGCAACGCCAGAACTCGCCTCCCTCCGACCGAGGTCTCGATGGCGCGCGGGACGATGGCCTTGAGCTCCTGCCGCCCTTGCCACTGTCGCCAGCACCCATGGCCACGAGATGACCGTCTCCGTGGTGGTGCCGTAGTACGCGCCTCGCGCGCTCGAGCGCCAGGAGGCTGCGCGCGCTGGCGCGCCGCCTCCGCAGCCGCCTGTGCCAGGCGGGCGAGGGCGGCCTATGGCGGCGCCCTTCGCGCTCCGTGGTGACGCCCTCCGCCCCTGGGGCAGACGGCTGGGGGCTCAGGCAAAACGGGCCCCCTCTGGCCCGCAGGTCTGAGCCGACCTGGAGGAGGAGGAGGAGGAGGAGGAGGAGGAGGAGGAGGAGGAGGAGGAGGAGGAGGAGGAGGAGGAGGAGGAGGAGGAGGAGGAGGAGGAGGTAGGGAGGGAGGAGGAGGCGGCAGCGTGGAGCAAGTGACGAGTCGCGCAGCGAGAGAGGACGAGGGCCAACAGCACAGGAGGGCTGGGGGAGGCTTAGGCATTGTACGGGTTGGTCCAGAGTGGCCAGCACCAGTTTTGAGGGAGCACACGTGGTTTAGATCGGCGGCGAGCCCAGGGGGTGGAAGTGAGAAGGAGGGGGCCTTCTCAGAAGGCGGCGGGGCTTCTCAGAAGGCCTCGCGTCTCCTACGAAGTTTTTGTTCGTGCCTTCGGAGAAGGATTATACCACTTCTCGGAATGCTGGAGACCTTCCGAGCCCTCTGAGAAGGCCCGCCCCGTCTAGCTTCCTCCGCGGGCCAGCTGCCTGAAGTCGTCGTACCCGAGGGGACACGACCAACCTCTGGCGCCCCCCCACCTGACTGTGTCGGTGTCCGTGCGCTCCTCTCGCCCGCAGGTGGGGTCTGCTGGCCCTGGTGGGGATCCTCCGGAAGAGCGTCGGCTGCACAGGCGGCCCCCGCTGGAGTGCGGTGTCGGCGAGGAGGAGGGGAGGACGAGGACGATGAAGATAAGGATGACGGTGATGTCGTTGCTGGTGACGGTGATGCTGACGAGGCTGACGATGAGGATGCTGCTGCTGCTGATGAGTATGATGATGCTGCTGCTGCTGTTGAGGTTCATGATGATGGCTGATGGCGATAATGATGATGGTGACGATGATAAGAATGATGATGCCGACGACGATGATTGTACTGATGATGCTATATACTGCTGAGGACGACGAGGAAGATGATAAAGATGCCGCTGCTGACGACGATGACGTCGATGATGAAGATGATGCTGATGCTGATGATGATGGTAATGGTGATCATGATGATGCTGACGATTCTGATGATGATAGCAGTGATGATGACGATGATGATGGTAACGATTATGACGATTATGATGATGCAGTTGATGCTGACGATGATGCTGATGATGACGATGATGATCGTAACGACAGTGACGACGATGATGATTCTGATGGTGAGATTGATGTTGCTACTGCTGCTGCCTCGGCTGCTGCTGCTGAAGATGAACATGCGGATGAAGATAAGGACGACTATGAATCTGACGATGATGATGATGATGATGACGATGATGATGCTGATGATGACGATGACGATGCCGATAATGATGATGATGCTGATGCTGATGATGATGCTGATGATGATGATGCTGATGCTGCTGCTGCTGCTGATGATGATAGTGCTGATGATGATGCTGCTGCTGATGAGGATAATACCGATGACGATGATGATGCTGATGATGATGATGATGATGATGATGATGATGATTCTGATGATGAGAATGCCGATGATGATTCTGGTGATGGTGGTGATGGTGGTGATGATGACGATTATGATGACGATGATAATGATGATGATGATGATGATGATGATGATGATGATGATGATGATGATGATGATGATGATGATGATGATGATGATGATGATGATGATGATGATGATGATGATGATGATGATGATGATGATGATGATGATGATGATGATGATGATGATGATGATGATGATGATGATGATGATGATGATGATGATGATGATGATGATGATGATGATGCTGACGGTCGTGTATCACATCTCATCTCATGGGCGTCGGAATGCCGCGAGGGTTTATCCTCCGCAACCTTTCTGGCTCAGCTCTCTCGCGAGACGGCTCGGATGATGCCAAGCCCCCGCGCGCTTGCCAGCCTGGGAATCGCGCAATTCACGGGGGTCTTCCTTGCGCACTTCGCGCTCCCGCGCGCTCCTCCGGCGCCCGTGGAGGCGCCCCCGTCCAGCCCCTTCGAGTCGGAGCTGGACAGCGGCGCCGAGGCGCCGAGGGACATCCGGCAGGTGCTGGATACCCTGCAGGAGGCGCTGGGCGACTGCCTGGCCACCAGGGCACTTGTGTGCCCAACCCCTTGCCCTGAGTGCCGCTGCGAGTGCGGCGCTGGGGCGTCGGCGAGCTGGTGGCGCGCGGCTCTCGAGTTCTTGCTGGGGGCGGTGGCGCTTCTGGCTCTGGAACTCGTCCGCGGGGCGCTCAGCTGGGCGCGGCATTTCTGGAGCCCTGCGAGGCGCGTGGGCTTCACGGCCGCGCCGCGGCGCCTGGAGTCGGCGGCCGGCTCGCCTGACCCGCGACAGCCAAAAGGAGGAGGGCAGTATCGATGAATGCAGGAGATGAGATTTGGGTTGAGTACGACGTTGGCCCTTCACTTCTGCATGCTCGGCTTCTTCTTCTTGCATCCAGCCATGTGGCTGGGGCCTTCAGTGTGCTCACTCCCGACATGGACGTGGACGTGGAGGAGTTCAGCCCTGGGAGCGCCGACCTGCGCGGGTACTACCTCAAGCAACCCCATGGCGTGGGGGCGCTGGCGGCCGTGGCACCTGGAGGTCGTGCCCTCTACGACTTCGCCGCCATGCCGAGCGCGCAGGAGATGGTCACCCTCTTCCAGCAGGCGCACGTGGCGATGGCGTGCTTCGAGCAGGACCGTGGAGGCCTCGTGGCCCACGCCGGCGGAGCCGCCGGGGCGGCCAGCGGCGGCGGGGCCGCGGCTGGGCTGCTCGGCGGGGGTGTGGCCGCTGGCGCGCCAGCCGGCCTGGGGGGCGGCGGGGCCGCGGCCGGGGCGGCCCCCCTCGGGGCGCCCGCTGCCGGCGACGCCGCCGCGGCTGGCGCCGCGGGTCCTGAGGCGCCGCCCCTTGCGGCGGGCGTGGGGGCCCTGGGCGGGGCACTGGTGGCTGGTGGCGGCGGCGCCGCGGGTGGCGCTGCCCCCGCCCCTGCTGGCGGAGGCCTGGCGGGGCTGGCTGCCGCCCTCGCGGGGGCGCCCGCTCCAGCGGACGGGGATGGACAGTCCGACGGTGGTGAGCCTGGCCGACGCGGAGATGACCTGCGCACCCTCCCCGTGCGGTACGACCGGCAGGGGGGCCGGTATCGGGAGTTCCGGGAGGCGGTCCAGAGCAACCGCTCGACGGCCTTCCCAGACTGGCCCGTGCCTGGGCCGCGCGCTTTCCAGTGGGTGGTGGAGTGCCAGATGGAGCATGGTGGGACACCCATGGGGCATCACGTGGCCTGGGAGGCTTCGCTGGGAGCGTCGGTCAGCCCGGACGACCCCATCGTGCACATGCGCGCGGAGTTCAGCAATATCATGCAGACGATGTGCACGTACGACCAGCTGGGCGGGTCCAACCTGGCCAGCGGCGAGCTGGTGGCGCGGCAGCTCCAGCTCTGCGGGGAGAAGTACAAGGACAGGATCTTGGCCCAGCGCGGGGGGGGAGGCCTGTCGCAGGATGAGGGCTTCTTCTTCACGGACATGGGTTCGACGCGGGGCATCATGGTCAGCCCGGAGCTCACCAAGTGGGTGGCGGAGCGTCTGCAGGCGGAGAGCAGCATCGCCAAGGAGCGGCGGCAAGCCAGAGAAGAGCGGCAGCTGGAAGGCCCCGGAGGCGGTGGCGGCTCAGGCCCGGGCGGGGCCGCCAAGAAAGGAGCTGAATCGTGGCGAGAAAAGGGCGCCCCATCGCCCCTTCGGTGGAGGAGGCTGGCCGCCCTCCGCTGATCCCCTTCGGCCGCGTCGTCGCGCTCCGAGGCTCCCATGGGCCCCAGTCGTCAGCGAGACGTTTTCCCTCTTCCTCTTCTCGGTGAGCAACCTCTACAGCCTGACGCGTGCCGTGCTGTGGACCGACGCCGGAGTAGGCTGCAGCATTCTTTGGAGTGGGCCAACCTCGGCATCAGGTCGCTCAGCGACTTGGCGGGGCGCGGGGGATGTTTGCCCCGCCGCGCCTCAGTTTTGCAGCACATGGCGCTCGAGCGCATCCGGGAGCAGTACGTCGCGTTCCCGGGTCCGCCCGACGCCATGTGCCCCCGCGGGAGCCTGCGCGAGCTCTGCGGCGCCTGCCCCATGTACGGCATGGAGCGGGCGGACTTGGTATCCCACAGCGAGGACCTGGTGTCCTGGCCGGCTGCCGGGACGACTCCTGTCTGCCTCGAGTCGGCCTTGCAGCCTGCCGACGCGGCGTGGCTGTCGGATTGGGGGGTCAACATGCTCCGCAGCCCGGAGGAGACGGCCCAGCTACGTGCTGATCTGGGACTGCGACGTCCCTACTCTGATCCTGCTCTACGTGATCCGAAGGTATACGGACGATTTCTTCAGCAGCTGCTCCGACGCGGGATGCTCCAGTTTTCCAAGTGGGATGGGAAGGCCTCCACGCTGGGGGCTTTCACCGTGCGCAAGAAGGGTGACCGACAGCGGCTCTTCTTTGACACGCGGCTGGTCAACCTTCATTTCCATTATGCTCCGGCCACTGAGCTTCCCACGGCGGCCGCCTTCTCGCGGCTGGAGAGCGATTCTTCGGGCCCGCTCTATTTTGCCTGCGGGGGCGTCGAGAACGCTTTCTACGCCATGCGAATCCCCCAGGGCCTGTGTCGTTACTTCCAGCTTGGGCGGATCAGGGCAGGCATGGTGGGGATCAGCTCGCTTGGTGGAGTCGCCCTCGACAGTGCCGAGTGGCTCACCCCGCAGCTCACCATCCTCCCCACGGGCTGGAGCTGGGCGATGCATCTGTGCCAGCTGGTCACCGAGTCGGCGCTGGTGCGGGCAGGGGTGCCCCCTTCGCGGCACGTCCGGGACCGCAGCGAGGGCCTCGTGCTGGGCAAGCGTGACGGGCCCGGCGCCGCCGGCTACGTGGATATTTACCTGGTGATGGGCGCTTGCCGTGCTACGGTCGACGCGGTGGCTGCCAAGGTGGAGTCGGAGCTGGCCGGCCTCGGGTTCAGCGTGCACGAGCAGCAGCGGGCCAGCGCCAGCTGCTCTTTCGTGGGGCTGGAGCTGTGCGGGGCAACGCGCAGTGTGCGGGTGTCGCCATGGCGGCTTTGCGCGTGCGCTATGCCATCGAGGAGCTCCTGTCGCGGCCAACCGTGCACGGGGAGATGGTGGAGGTGCTGCTGGGGCACTGCGCGTGGATCGTGCTGCTGCGCCGACCGTCGCTCGCCATCTCCGATGCGAGCTACCGATTCTGCCAGGCCGCGCGGGAGGAGGCCCTGCCCTTGTGGGAGTCGGTGCGCTGGTAGTTTCGCACCGTGCGGAACCTGCTGCCCCTGTTGGCTGCGCGCCTCGCCGCTCCGTGGCATCCCGAGGTCTCCGCGTCCGACGCCTCCCCCTGGGGCGCGGGCGTCTGCGTCAGGGAGGCGGGCGGCAGCGCGGCTGCCGCCGTGGGACGTACCGCGGAGAGGTGGCGCTTCCACTTCGGCGATGCCATCAGCGCCAGAGCGCACGCTCTGGAAGGGGATGGGGTTGCTACCAGCCTGCGCCGGCCCGCGGCCCATGCCCAGCGAGGAGGCCAAGGACCTGGACAAGCAGTTCGGCGAGATCCCAGCTTCGTTCATGCAGGACCCCTGCTGGAAGATCGCGCTGTCATTCCCCTGGCGGGAGAAGCGCGACATCTATTGCACCGAGGGGCTCGCCCTGTCCGCCTCCT